CTTATAATTATGTAACATACTATAAATGTTATTTATCTCGTTCATTGTCTTTTCCTACCAACTAGAATATAGCACCATGAGGATGGTTTTGTTCACTGCTGTAGCTCAGAGCCTAGGACAGGTCTAATGCATAATATGATACATTCAATAAATAATTGTTGAATGACTAATTTAAAGAATGAACAAAGCACAGCACCTCTCCAACAAAAAATATAGTACCCCCAAACTGAAATGGGACTACTGGAACAATTGAGCTTTGAAGCATAGCCTCCTCTTGTGCTTGATTTTTGAGGAGATAAGGAAAAAGGCTTGATGGAGAAAGAGGGGAATGTAATTCCAAGTGAAGGAACTCTCAGAAATTCCCCAGGAAAAGTCAGAATCCAAAGTTCATTTATTCATTAAATTGGGAATACAGCCATGAACAAGGTAGGAAAAAAGGGAATTTATTCTAGTGATCACAATGTCAAGCATTATGATCTTGGACTCAAGATCTGCTTGTCGGAATGGTGAGATAGGAAAGGCTTAAATTTCTGAAGGGCTGCAAGGTCCAGGTAGACCAGAGTGGCTTTCATCTGGCCGCAGGAAGCTACCTTAGATTCCTGATCAGAAAGAGCTCTGGGAGTGTCAATTATGGAGGATTTCTATAGCCACATGAAAGATAGATTTTGCCAGAGAAGGGAATTAGAAAGGGTGAAAGATACCAGAAAGGGCTGTTGCAGAAGAGGCAGGGTGACTGGAACAGGGGGCCAGATATCATCATAGAAGAAGGAGGGGTCTGAGGCATCTGGACCTGAAGCAACAGAGAAAGGACCTGAGTGTGAGAACAATTTAGATATGCGTCACCAAGAAGAACTTCCTGATGAAGAGGAAAAGAGATGGCAGGGAGACTTTGCGAACCCCGGTCGTGGCACAACCAGATTAAGACCAGTCCATTGAGCTTCAATGATTGTTCTATCACTGGGCTGTGTAAACACAGGAAGGACCACAGCACTCCACTGTTTATTCGCCAGTGCTTTGTCCATGTTTGCTGTTTTGTTCTGTATGTGACAAGCTTAGTCCAGATGTGACCCATCAGAGATTGGAAAGGATTTGAACCCTAGTGAGTCACACTGGATCTGCAGAGCAAAACTTATGTTTTTGTCTGAAAACCACCACATCTGCTAACACTCTAGATATTTTTATTAATGGAGTAAAATTTTTAAAGATATTTGGTATCATGAAGCTGAGATGCTGGGATTTCTCTGCATAGCAGAATTCTGACTAAGGATAAAATTAAATAATTTTGATATTTAATAAGATGCTAACTTCACTTTAATACGGTGTCATGATGGCTGTGTCTGTAAGAATCAAAAAGAATCTTAAAAAAAAATTTTTTTTTGCCTCTGACATAGCTAATTGGCTTGAAATCAGTCCGTGTTTTCTCAAAGCTTGAGTTTCTTTCAGTTTTGTTTCTCTATCAGAGGAAGAGCTGAAGTCTTTACCTGGCTCTCTCACTTTAAACAGAATAGCCTTTTCACTTTTCATGTGAAAAGGAAAAAAAAGGGAAGGAAACAGTAGTCCTGAATTCTCCATATAGTGAGACAATTCAAAGGAAAACACAGCACTTTGCCATTAGATATTTTTTGGTAAAAATATTTCTTGAAATTGTTTTACATTGTATGATAGAAACCACATTCCTGTGATATACAAGGAGAATGAAGGGCTTTTGGGGGAAAGATAGTCATTGTAAATTTTCCATAATAGAACTTAACTGTAGCAGTCATGGCATCTGAAAGAGCTCTGGGGGCCCAAGAAGAGGAGCCAGTATTTAATTGGTTCCCTTTTTATGAGCACGTCCTGGATAAGTCCACTTGGACTCCCACGTCTAGTATCACTTCTTAAGAAGAGTCTGGCTTCCTGCATGTGATAAGGGCTTTTTAAAAACTACCTGTCATAGTCCATAAAAGCATAGTATTTTTTTTAACTTTTAAAAAATTAAGTTTATTGGGGTAACGTTGGTTAATACAATTATATGATTTTCAGGTGTACATTATAATTTGACATCTGTATAATCTATTGTGTGTTTACCACCCAGAGTCATTTCCTTCAGCTACCGTATATTTGATCCCCTTAACTCGCTTCGCCCTCTCCCTCAATTTACCGTCTACCTCCCCCCTCCACCATCATCCCCTGCCCTTCTGATAACCACTAGTCTACAGTCCATGTCCATGAGTCTCTGTTTGCTTGTCCTATTCCTTTGTTGCTTTTAGGTTTATGTCCCACATATAAGTGATTTCATGTGATTTTCAACTTTTTCTGTCTGGTTTATTTTGCTTAGCATAATTATTTCGAGGTCCATCCATGTTGTCGCAAATGGCAGTATTTCATCTCTTCTTATGGCTGAGTAATATTCCATTGTATATATGTACCCAGCTTCTTTATCTAATCATCTATTGTAGGACACTTCGGTTGCTTCCGTGTCCTGGCCACTGTGCATAATGCAGCTACGAACATTGAAAGCATAGTATTTTAATTACTCCTCTCTGGATAATCTAGTTGATTACAAGAAAACAAACAGCCATTATTTTTTTGTTAATAAACTTTTGAAAATTGTATATGAAAAATTCCTAAACTTTCTCTCTGATCTAAATTCTTATAATTTCTTTAATAAGAAGAGTACGATGAAAGGCTTGAATATATTCTAATAATTTGGATATCATTGCAAAAGCTGGGCAAATGTAGAAAAGTATACTTTCAACTGTCCAAGCATAATAATGAATTAGTAAATATTTTCATTAGGAAAAGGAAGAAACAGTTACACTCAGCTGTATTCCACCTCAGGGCATCTGCAGTTGCTGTTCCCTTTTCCTGGAATGTTCTTACTCCTTCTCATAGCTGGAGTTTTCTCATCATCCAGGTCTCAGCTCAAATGTCACCTTCTCAGAGAGGCTTTCCAGACCCTTAATTGGATCCCCTCATCCTTCCTCCGCTACAGGTCACTATACAACATTTCTTGGTTTTAATTTCTCCTTAGCACTTACCAAGACGTGAAGTCACTTATTTATGTACTACTTTCCTGGTTTATTTCTCTCCCCAACTAGAATGTAAACTCCAAGAGCAGTGACCTTGTTGGTCTTTTTCATTGGATGCTAAGATTAGTGCCTGGATAGATGTGGGAGGAAAATGAGACAGCAAAATTGTCACGCTTATGAAAACAAAAGAACTAAATAGGTAGAACTTTTCGAACAGCTGGAGAGAGTAAAACATTCAAAATTTCATTGTATTAGAAATACTGCTGCTGTGTGCTACCCTTGGGTATTGTAATTGTTCATCCAAAGCATGTGCTTGTTATGAGCTGTGTTTGTCAACATCACAACTTTGAGAACTGAGGTAGGTAGTATGTAGGAAGCTCTTTTCCGGATTCCAGAGCTCTGGCATCAAAGAAGACATTTCTGCTATACCAGTTGTATCAGGATATTTTCACTTCAAGGTATTAAAAATCCTGACTCTAATTGGGTCAAAGCATAAGTTTTATGGGAGCACTGGATCAGGCTTCGTTGTTTTAGCAGCTCAAAATGCCATCAAGGACTCAAATTCTCTCCATCTCTGCTCTGCCATCATTTGACGTCATCCCATCCAGGCAGAACAATGTCTGACAGAGAAGAGAAATACTTCCTTTCTTTTCCTAGACTTGCTTCAGCAGACTTCCTCCAGGGTCTCATGAGCCAGTTTGTGGTACATACCCTTTGTTGAACCGATCACTAGTGAGGGAATGAGACTGTGTAGAATAATAAGGCCTGTTGCTGAATAGGGTGTTGTGTCCTTTTCCCATGAGGCATGTGGCTGCTTGGAGGAGTGGCAGGCATCTGAACAAAACTGAGGTTCTTTTGGGAATGGAGAAGGTGAGAAGCACTGTATACTTCATCTGCTGTTCCTGTTTGGAAGCAGTAGATAATGGTGTCGCTAAAACGTTTTCCCCTAAGTGTTATACTGTTTGAGCTGATGGATAAAGACTGGTTCAAGAGTCTAGAGGTTGGAGTGGACTGGAGACCTGTGAGTTACAGTCCTTTGGATGAAGTCCGAGCTTCTGCTCAAGAGCACGAGGAGGAGCTCCCACTTCCGTGTACAGCCGCTGCTGCTGACCGGGAAGGGGCCAGGAAGAGGTGGCTCAGGCTCCACGGTCAGCTGTTTTAATCCCATGCCCTGTCCTTAGAGAAGTGAAATCTATTCTGGAGAACCCATCTCATTCCCACATGTGTCTTTGTCACTTTATTCTATCCTTCTTCCCCAAAGCATAATAAAAAAAGTTTGGGAAGTTGGGAGAAGAGGAGTGTGAGTCAGGGAATGGGGCAACCATTCCATTTCCTGTTCACCTGCACTATATGCTCTGTTTATTCTCATCAAAGTAACTTTTGTTTTTTATGTAATTCTCCTGGAGCTTTTTTATGTAACACAATAAGGTGAAACTATGAACAGAATAGTTTCGATAATGTGAATGATGAAATATTCAAAATCCCACAGCCTCTACACTATTACCAATTAACATGTAAGTGCGGTTGAATTGCAAAAGGTGTGTCGAGCCAGGAAGTGTCATGGAGTTGTAGGCCTTTGATGTTGTATGATATATTCTGAATACTTTTTCACATCTTAAATATTTTGTGGTAGATTTCAAAAAAAAAATGAAGAGGGCTGTCCTTGATTTTTGTTATTTATTACTTGTACCTTCATACACCTACATGACCTATTAAAAGAAACTACCAATTTGGGGTTCTTCCCTCTCACTTCATTTCTGATCACTGATCTAATTCTGCCCATTTTCCTTATGACAGTCTTGGCTTTTATCACAAGAAGAAATCCTTTTGTTCTTGAATTATTTCCTGATTACTTTGCAAGTGCCTCATGGGTAAAAATTAACTTTTATCTTTAATGTCTCCAGATAGCTAGCACTAGACCATACAGAAAGGGGAAGAAAATATTTATTGATTTCTTATTGATATTTTGTCTTCTGCTTTTGGTTTTAGATTCCAAACTCAGGAGATTTTGTTCCAAAAATATACTGATCATCCTTGGCTTCTCCTCTATAATAGCTGTGATTGCTTTGATAGCTGTGGGGCTGACCCAGAACAAACCATTGCCGGAAAATATGAAGGTAACTCTGTGTGTGTGTGGCAGGGGGCGGGTGGGTGGAAAGGGAGGTTATGGTAGATCAGAGCATACAGGAGGAGTTGAGGTTCTGGCAGCCCAGGAGAAAGTCAATATCTATTGGGCTAGAAGAGTAAAATGGAAATGGATGCTCGTTCTGGAAGAGGGAATGCCTTGAGTCAATTAATGGTGGCAAGATAATTGTCCTCATGATTGTTCAGCAAATTAATTCAATAAATAATAGAAACAAAGACTTTATTCACCACATCCAGATCTGTGTTATACTGTGCTGATATTCTACTCTCTAGTGCTATCTCTACTTACTCGTTTCACTGTGCATGTGTCACAACACTGTACTCTTTGTTCTTCTTACTCCATTATTATCACTATCGCCAAAATTATAAAATTTATTGGAAAGCTCTGTATAAAGCACTTTGGAAATTAAAGATTGTGGAGAAGACTTGTTTCTCATCTCCAAAATATTAAAGAACACAGCCCGGAAATACAAATGCATACATATGCCAGGCTGCTGAAACTTTTTGCCACCCACTCAAATCACTTGTTGTGTAGAAGAGGCCTAGATGTTACGTTGGCATCTGTTTGCCACACAAGTTCAGCACACTGGGGCTGCGCACAGCAGCCCCATTGTCAGCACGGAAGGCTGATACTATTTCATTGTCAATGGTCTCTTGCTTTTTAATGTTGAGCGATGTCAGCTCTCTTGGCAAAACTTCACTCAGTCGAAGCCTCACGACATCTCAGTTCTGCTATTTGTTTACCAGTTCCAAATATACACGATTGCCTTCTTGATTTGACCTTTTTACATGTTCATTATTGCATCATTGGAGAAGGGGACTGCCTAGGAAGCAAAATTCATGACAGACTTGAGCTCTGTGTTCCCACTGAATACTTGTCATGGATGACCTCCTCTCATTCGCAGTTGTCATCTTTTTTTTTTCATTTAATTTAATTTTTTATTTTTAAATTACAGTTGACACTCAATATTATTTTATATTACTTTCGGGTGGACAGCCTAGTGGTTAGACATTTGTATAATTTACAAAATGATCCCCCCAATTAATCTAGTACCCACCTCGCACTACACAGTTATTACAATAATATCGACTATTCCTTATATGCTGTACTTCACATCCCTGTGACTATTTTGTAACTACCAATTTGTACTACTTAATCTCTTCATCTTTTTCACCCAGCCCCCCCAACACCCCTCCAATCTGGCAACCATCAGTTTGTTCTCTGTATCTATGAGTCTATTTCTGTTTTGTTTGTTCATTTATTTTGTTTTTCAGATTCCACATATAAGCGATATCATAGGGTATCTGACTTATTTCACTTAGCATAATACTCTCTAGGTCCATCCATGTTGTCACAAATGGTAAGATTTCATTTTTGAGGTATTGAACATTCAAGGGGAAATGTCAAAGAAGCAGTTGGATATGCAGATCTGGACCTCACATTGCTCAACAGAAATATTGCAAGCCACATTTTAATTTTTCTAGGAGCCACATTTTTAAAAAGTGGAAGAGGTGAAATTAATTTTAGTAATGTTTTATGTAATCCGATACATCCAAATATTATTATTTCAACATTTCATCAAAGTAAAGAATTGATGGGATGTTCCTTTTTTCATACTATCTTAAATTCCAGTATGATTTTTCACTTAAAGCACACCTCAATTTAGACTAGTCACATGTCAGGTGCTCAGTAGCCACATGTGGTTAGCGACTACCTTATTGGACAGCACAAGCCTAGACTTCACTGATGTATTGAAGCCTTAGAAATGGATGAGATCATAGGAAGCGGGTAAAAAGTAAGAAAAGAACAGGGCAAGGACCGGAAGAATTCTGTCACATTAGAGGTTGACTAGTAAAGAAATTCCTTCTAAAGCATAGTGATAACATTGTTTTTTTTTTATAGTGCTTTGCGGTTTATGAATCATTTCCATACACAGTGCTGAGAAGAATGAAAGATTATTCTCATTTTATACATAACAAAATGAGGGCCTTTGGAGTTCTCTTGCCCAAGGTGGAAGTGGGGCTAGGATCTGAATGCAGTTTTCTGACTCAAAGATTAATGTTCTTTCCATTTGTTTTAGTTTTTCCAAACAACACATCCTAATAATAGGAATTGAATGCAGAATGTTTA